TAGAAATGGATATATCTGGTTTTATAAAGGTTCAATAAATTTTAATTTATAATCCAAACTGAACACAATAAAAGTTCATATTTGGTCATAGTGTGCCTTTGTATAAATGGAAGAGGGGGGAGGAATTTTGTTTTTTTTGCTCTGGATCAAGGACTTGTCCTAAAATATAGATAATCCATAGAAAAAAAAATTGAAAACAAAAAAACAATTATGTAAATTAAAAAAAAAAATTTACTCTGCTTTTGTTGTTGTTGTTATGTGCTGTCAAGTTGCACCTGACTCATAGCGACCCCTCCCTGGTTTCCGAGGTTGTATCACTACAGAAGTAGATTGCCCAACCTTCCTTTTGAGGAGTGGCTGGTGGATTTGAACCCCTAGGCTTCTGGTTGGCAGTCAAGTGTTTTAGGTACTACAGAGGTATTTTATTACTACATTTGTGTTAAACTGGCCTATTCCAAACTCAGAAGAAAGAAGTCAAAGCAGCACTGAAGGAATTGGTGAAGAACAAACCTCCAGGAATTGACAGAATGCCCACTGAGATGTTTTAACAAACAGACACCATGCCGTAGGCACTCACTTGACTACACCAAGAGATCTGGAAGGCAGCTACCTGGCCAACTGACTGGATGAGATTCAGATATGTACCCATTCCAAAGAAAGGTGGTCTCACAGACTGTGGAGCAATATAATTATTATCACACACAAGTAAAATCTTGCTGAAGATAATTCAAAAATGATTGCAGCAGTATATTGACAAATGTGTTAGACTGGGTTCTCTAGAGAAACAAAAACCAGTAAAGCTTATATATATGTATATATAGAGAGAAATTTGTCTTAGAAAAATGGCTCACACACTTATAGAAGCTGGCAAGTCCAAAGTTCCTGGATCAAATGTCAAGCTGGAGGCCTTTCCTGGCTCTTGCAACCACAGGGGCTAAGGAGCTCAAGGCTGGCAGGCAGTACACTGGCTATTGACTCCAACGAATGATGAATCCAAGAGCTCCAGGCCGAATGGTGGACTGTTCACTCATGGACAGTTGCAAGCAGCACAACAGAATCCCAATCCACAGAAGAATATCTCTCTTTCCAGGATGTTCTTGGATATACTGAAAGCAGGCTACACCCCTAAGGAAACTCCCTTTCAACAGATTGGCCACTCAGAACATAGTCATCTGATCCCATCATGGGAACAACCACACCACAATAGCTCAAACCACACAGAATTGTGGTCCAACCAAGTTGACACACAACTACAACTATCACAGTCTACCCCTTGTCAACTTGGCAGTTGTATACATCTTCTTAACCATATATATAATCTCTAAATAAGGACACTTATAAAGTCATATTTGTGCCTAACATGATACGCTAATACACATACAACCAAAATACATTAACATTATTTACAATTTCACAGTTTATAACAGAAGGAAACAAAAATATTTGATGCATATATACAATGAAGAAATATAACAATCACAGTCCTCATTTTTGCAGCTGGTCACGTGGTTGAAGCTGATATTCAGAACTACCTTCTTCCACCACCCATTCTGTATTTCCCTTGCCCTCAGCAAGCACCTCAGCTGGTCATTCTTTGCCTGGTGGGGTGACCCAAACCTTCATTCCTTTAGTGTCTGGGCCATTAGCAGTCATATCAGAATTGGGTTGCTGTAATTTTCCATTGACTTTACTCACAGGGCATGGTAGTACTAAGAGATGTCCCGAAGAATCTCTGGCATTCCAGACATATTCTTCTTTACCTTCATTATGTAAAGCCAATACAATTTCCCCTTGGTAATCAGGATCTATCACACTAGATCGTACAGTAATGCCCTTCTTCTACATTATACCAAGGCAGGTCTGGTACTTCAACTTGACTTAAGGTAGGCCACCTCATAATCCATGCCTCAGTAAGCCAATCAAATAAACTATCACATCCTTTCCTAACCTCTAGAGCTGAAACATTGAATGAAGAATCCATACTTAGTGGGCCTAAATCAATAAACTCAGACTGATCCAATATTACATTCCTTGCACAATTATGCCACACCTTCAGTAGCCATTCCCATACATATTCCAGGTTTCTGTCTGTACATGTTAGCAAAATCAAGTAGGTCTTTTTGGGTATAGCCTACCACCTCCTCAGTCACACTTTCTATTTCACCTTTTGGGGCTCACTTGGACTTAACTTGAGTTATCAGTCTAGCAGCAACAATGGGCAGTTGAGGCAGTTCCTGAGAACATTCAGGAATGTCTTCCATGGCCTCTGCCTCAGGCAATGACCCAGCAGGACCGGTTTGGCTAGTCTCATCAAACTGAGGGGGAGGGGATAATGGTTTTACAGTAATTCGTTCAGATGGGAGGGATTCAACGGAATTTACAGGCTCCATATCCTGATCTTCCTGATTATCTGTCCGTATGTCCCCATTCCAGGTTTTAGGATCTCATTTTTTCCCAATCAATGCCCTCATTTTAACATCAGACACCATTCTGGATTAGCAATTTAATTGGCGTTTTAATTCAGCCACCTTTACAATAAGACTCTGGGTTTGGTTTTCAGCAATATCAACTTTGTTACTAGAAGATATAAGCCTTTCTTTCAGAGCACAACTGGAAGCACGGAGGTCTTTTATCGGCACTTCAGCCAAGACTCAGCAGCTCTGAGCTCATCTCGCTCTTTCACCATTTTGTCTAGTGTAAGTAGGACCAACCAACCAGCTTCCTTATACTCCTCATGCTGACAAAATTGCAGAAAAGTATCAAATATCAGATCACCCAGAGCGTCACTTCTCACAAGTACTTGATCTATTGGTGATGCTACTTCACGTATTAATATGCCACCTCACGCCACAGATTAGCAGGGCCCTCTTTACTAACAGACGCAGGGTTAGTAGTGTCTTTAAGATTAATCAAACCAGAGAACCAATTTAGGAAACCTATCCTTATGATTTAGTCTCTCTAGAACCACTCCCAATACCAAATGTGTTAGAATGGGTTCTCTAGAGAAACAAAAACCAGTAAAGCCTATATATACATATATACATAGAGAAATTTATCTTAGGAAAATGGCTCACACACTTATAGAAGCTGGCAAGTCCAAAGTTCCTGGATCAAGTGTCAAGCTGGAGGTTTTTCCTGGCTCTTGCAACCACAGAGGCTAAGGAGATCAAGACTGGCAGGCAGTGCACTGGCTATTGACTCCAACGAATGATAGAATCTGAGATCTCCAGGTCGAATGGTGGACTGTTCACTCATGGACAGTTGTAGGCAGCACAACAGAATCCTGATCCACAAAAGAATGTCTCTCTTCCCAGGATATCCTTGAATATACTGGAAGCAGGCCACACCCATAAGGAAACTCCCTTTCAACAGATTGGCCACTCAGAACATAGTCATCTGATCCCATCATGGGAACAACCATACCACAATAGCTCAAACCACACAGAATTGTGGTCCAGCCAAGTTGACACACAGCTCCAACTATCACAACAGAGAACTTCCAGAAATGCAAGCTGAATTCAGAAGAGGATGTGGAACAAGGGATATCATTGCTGTTAGATGGATCTTGGCCAAAAGCAAAGAATACCAGAAAGATGTTTACTTGTGCTTTATTGACTATGGAAAGCTTTCAATGATGTGGATCATAACAGATTATGGCTAACATTGAGAAGAATGGGAACTCCAGAACACTTAATTGTGCTCATGAGAAACCAGTACAGAGAGCAGGAGCCTGTCGTTAGAACAAGAGGATACTGCATGGTTTAAAATTTGGAAGGGACTGTGTCGGGGTTGTATCCTTTCACATTGCTTATTCAATCTGTATGCTGGGCAAATAATCTGAGAAGCTGAACTATATGAAGAAAAATGCAGCATCAGGAGTGGAGGAAGATTCATTAACAACCTGTGATATGCAGACAACACAACCTTGCTTGCTGAAAGTGAAGAAGACTATAAGCACTTGTTGATGAAGATTACACCTCAATAAAAAAAAAAAAAAAAAAATCCTCAGAACTGGATCAATAAGCAGCCTCATGATAAATGGAGAAAAGTTTGAAATTGTCAAAAATTCCATATTACTTGGATCTGCCATCAACACCAATGGAAGCAAAAAAAAAAAACCTCACTACCATAAAGTCTATTCTAAATCATAGCTACCCCCTTTTGGGTTTCCAAAGTGGTAAATCTTTATGGAAGTAGATTGCCCAGTCTTCCTTCTGCAGAGTGGCTGGTGAGTTTGAACTGCCAACCTTCTAGCTAGCAGTCAAATGCCTTATGCACTATGCCATCAGATGTCATATTGCACTAGGCATATCTGCTGCAAAAGACCTCCTTAAAGTACTGAGGAGCAAAGATGTCTCTTTGAAGACTAAGGTGTGCCTAACCCAAGCCGTGGTATTTTCCATCACCTTATATACATGTGAAAGCTGGATAGTGAATAAGGAAGACCAAAGAAGGATTGATGCTTTTGAGTTGTGGTGTTGGTAAAGAATACTGACAGTGCCACGGACTGTCAGAAGAATGAACAAATCTGTCCTGGAAAAAGTGCACCCAAAATGCCCCTTGGAAGCAAGAACCCCCAGAATCCATCTCCCCTACTTTGGTCATGTTGTCAGAAGGGACCATTCCCTGGAGAAGGATATCGTGTTTTATAAAGTGTGGGGTCAATCCTCGGCAAGATGGATTGACACAGTGGCTGCAATGATGGGCTAAGGTATAGCAAAGATTGTGAGGCTGGCACAGGACCAGGCAATGTTTTGTTCTGTTGTATTTAGAGTCACTATGAGTCGGAGCTGACTCAACAATACCTAACAACAACAACATTCCAAACTCAAAATCATTGTTACTATTGGTATTAATATAAACTGATATTTTCCTTTTAACAACTAATGAGAAGAGCACCATGTGGTACTAATAGTGGAACATCCTTCATCACCAAACATTTGATTGAAGGTTTATACTATTTCTCTCAAGAGGAGCATTCTCTGATGACTGTCACTTACCTCCTCTCGATGCTCATCTCCTGACCGCTGGACATACCACTTAATAGATGCTTGTTGGGATTTAGGTATACATTCCAGAAAAGTTGAATTGAATTCAATGCCAAAAATCACCTTTTCATCAGCAGTTTCATGACTAATGCCTGGAAAGCAAACATGGAATAGGAGATTAACCTTGACCTGATTTTAAAAGCAATAGGAAAATAGACTGATTTAGAACAGATGCCTTAAGGGAAAGACTCATATACTTTATTAAAGAAAAAGGAAATTCATGCTATAATTTTATAACCTAAGAGTCAAATATTATCTAATAGATTGATTTTTAAAACTCTATTCTTGCACTGCCATTTTAACTCTTTCATCAGTTGATTTTTTAAAAAATAAAAGCTTACAAGATCTAAGTTTAAATATTATGTCTCTGTCTCTGAGTCAAATGAATCTTTTGTATCTTTCAATGCATTAATACCCTTTCTTATATGTAAAATGTAGCTAGTTTTGTAGGTAGTTCTGGAAGAGCAACTTATTTCACTTTTAAAGAGAAATTCTACCATGAATTGGTCCACAAAGATTATTTTATAATATTAAGAAATATTTATGTCAAAGAATAAGTACAGTGGCCTTGTTGATGAAATTCTATAATGATAATAAACCAAATGCTCTAATACTCAGCATATGGACGTTATCTGTATCATCCATACCAAATTTTCTTTTTGTTCTGGAAGGATACTCCAGGCCAACATGCATGTGCTATCAGATAGTTAATGGATGCCAAAAGGGCAGTGTCTCAGACACCTTATTCTTGTAAATCAACTGCACCATCTGAAATACATTCTATCCAGAGTAGCCAAAGGCTGTGTCCCATGTGTGATCTAAGATCTGTAGCTCAAATTTGATCAAATAAAAAATGACGGCTGCTCAGCCTGGTTCAAACATGTACTTTTTCATCATATATTCAGATGTCTCAATTCTACAGATGGGCCTACTTAGAATTTTAGGCATAAACCAAAGAGTAAGGCTTAAAGGACATAAGGGAATCCTAAACCTAAGCACAGAAAATTACCAGCAAATGGCATGAATGCACATACATCCTCTAGGCTTTTTTCAAGAAATGCTTTTTGAACTTATCTGTGTTTTAGCAGCAATGATTAAATCAAGCATGCTGACACTATTATGAATTAGCATGGCAACCTTCAAAATGTGTGGATTCCATGTGAAACCTGTAATCTATTCACTATCTCTGCCAATTCAACAGATTAGATCTGCAATTTCCACAGTTAATAAATTCCTAATGCACAGAAAGATCACTAATGCCAATCATGAAAAAGAAAGTTATGCACCACTCCTTAGTAACAGATGTCAATCTCCTGAGCAAAGGGAGTCCATGAACAAAGCATGGAGGGTGCAGGGTGATCATTAGGTGACGACACAAGGGCCCAGGAGCAACTCAGTTAGTCCTATTTAACAAAGGGATTGGTTAGTTCAGTAGACAATAATAAAGTAAAAACAAATGGATGACCCAAATAATGAGTTGATTATCTGAAATCCTTTGTTATCTCAGGAAAAGATAAGATAATGGTCTTATGACAAAAAGATAATTGTTGATCAGTCTGAAAATAAATACTGTTGATAAAGTTTGTTTCATCTCTGAGTTTTAAATTTTCAATTTTAAAATTTTAAAATATATGCATATATATATAAAATATCTTGGAAGGAAGGCTGGGCAATCTACTTCTATTGAGATATTGCCTCAGAAACCCAAGGAGGGGTCATGAGTCTGAAACAACTTGATGGCAGTGAGTTTGGTTGTTTTGGATATAACATATGCTATTTGACATAGCGCCTAAGGCATTTGACTGTTGATCAGAAGGCTGGTGGTTCAAACCCACCAGCCACTCCTCGGAAGGAAAGTTGGGCAATCCACTTCCATAGTGATACCGCCCTGGAAACCCAAGGAGGGGTCACTATGAGTTGGGACTAACTCGAGGGCAGTGAATTTGGTTTTTGCGTATTATTATCTAACTTTTAAAAGTACAAGAGGCATGTTGTTGTAGTTATGTGCCGTCGAGTCAGTCCCGACTCATAGCGACCCCTCCTTGGGTTTCTGAGGCAGTATCACCATGGAAGTAGATTGCCCAACCTTCCTTCTGAGGAGTGGCTGGTGGGTTTGAACCACTAGCCTTCTGTTTAGCAGTCAAGTGCCTTAGACACTATGCTACCAGAGCTTCTACAAGAGGCATAGTGTTATGAAATAGTAGAATATAGCCTCACCAAGAGTAAAATAGTCGTAAAGAAAGTATTTTAATCATTCAGTTTGTAATTTTAAAAAATTGCTTTTCACAGTAAAATACCTCAAACATTTCTTATTAATAAATAAAGGACATATGATTGGAGGTCAAGATTATATCTCTTTCACATTGTTAAACATAGTTCATCTACATGCTTTATTGATTTTATGTCATTAAAAAATCATATCATTTAACAATTAAAGTAACAAGAAAAGAAAGGAAGGAAGGAAGAAAAGAAATATATTTCTGCAAATATTCAAGACTTGGTTACCTAATAAAGTGTAAAATACATTTATGTTAGAGTATAAGTAAATCACATCTTATATCCTTTATGAAGAATTGTTCAAATCTTTTCCCTTCTCTCCATGGTGAACTGAAACTACTCCATTGTGAAGATAATGGAGAATTTTAGATTGTAAATAACTTCATAATATTTACTTAAAATTTCACAATTGATTGTGTGCCTATAATTTCTCCTAGTCCAATTAATTATCCATACAGGTGCCAATTACTTTTATTTTAAGTGATCTTTCCATCTCCTTACATAGAAATATGAAATAAATCCCTATAACCTACAAGGTAAACATAAATTCCATGGAACAACATAGAGAATGTCACAAACTTAATTCAATCTATGCCATGTTTTTCTGCTTTTAGTTAATGTTACTTCATCTACTTTGTAAAAGTTGGCATTCTCCTTAAGGCACAAGTCAAATGCTTTCCATTTGAGTGTCCTCCCTGACAAAGGGGAAAGAAGGATCCATCATCTGACCTCCTCTAACCCTGCAAGAGGAAGACAGAATCACCATCAATAGCTCAAGGCCTATTCCTGCAAGGCCAGACATGCTGCCTCCCTCCAGACCTTTCATTAACCCTGACACCAACCTTTCCTCCCACAGCACCCACCACCTCTCTGCTGGGTTCCATAACTCACTGTAGTGGCCACACAGAACTCACAGATTATGGGGTTTATTAGGGAAGCAACGTCTACAATTCAAGTTCAGAAATGCACTCAGTCTCTCTCAGCCGGCCATCTCACTCAGCAGCCAGCAGTCTCAGTAGCACATCATTCTCTCAGCAGTGCATGTCTCTTGTGTCTGTCTCTCAGCAGTGTGTGTCTCTCACATCTCTCAGCAGCATGTCTCTCTCATGTCTCTCAGGAGCACTTTTCTCTCAGCAGCATGTCTTTCTCAGCCAGCAGTCAGAGAAACTCCTTCTGCCTCTGGGAGGGCTCCTTTTGAGCTTAGTAGAGTGACCACACTAACCAATCCCAACATCAGAATTCTATACACCTGAGAAAGAGTGAACTTCCCAGAAAATTATGTCATGATGCTCCCAACAGAAATACCCCAGGTGGATAACTTTAACAATCAGAAGCTACTCAGTTGCTCACAGCAAATTCCACCATGGAGTTTACAAAGACTTATGGCTATGTAATTTATGACACTCCCCTTGCCCATCCATCAAGAGAATATTGTTGTGTGCTTACTGCACTGTAATGCTTTATGTGTTGGGGATATAGTGGTGAGTATTACAGACAAAGTCATCAACCTCAAGAAGTTTGCCTGACAGTGTTGGAGACAAAGTAATCAAGTAAAAAATATAGTATCTAGTAATGTTAGGCACTACAAATGAAATAAGCAGATTAAGAAACAAGGAATGTGTGGTAGTTGAGGTTGCTGCAACCTTGGCTGGGTCTGCTTGAGTGGCTGGGTAGCTGGATGTTGTTATTCCCCATAGTGAGATTGGCAATCAGTTCTATGGTGGAATCTACTAGAGCAGCTGAGTAGCTGCTTTAGGGATGTGTGCTGCTTCCAATATATAAGAAGCAGCTTTGAGGAATGTCTCCAGCTTTTTGGCACACTTGATCCCTGCATATAGCCAAGTCATTGTTCAACAGCTTGCCAAGCCCTATTGATCTTGGGACATTTTCTTGACTTGTATTAGTGGCCTGCCCTGTTGTTTTGTGATATTGGGACTGTAACTTTTCACTCGTCAACCTTACATTTGTCAGCCTTAGCAGCCAGCTGCTGCCTGAGTGAAGAAAAGCCTCTAGTTTCAGTCGGCTGAGAACAAGAGGCAGAGTTGAAGTCCAATGTCAAGGAGCTTTCACCTAGCCCCTAGAGCCTGGCATTTTGAACTCGAACTACTAGCCTCCAAAAATTGGAAGAATCAACTCCTGTTTGCTAAAGCCATCCCATTTGTGATATTTTGTGTTAGAATAGCACGGAGGTAACCAAAACAAGATGAAAGGGGGAAAAGGGATTTCAGATGGGGAGTCAGAAAAGATCTCTCTAATGAATGAATATTAAAGTACATAATTATATGATGTGAGGCTGAAGCTCTGTAGACATCTGGAGAGAAGAGTTTTTAAAGTACCAAAACCAGAACTAAACTTATTACCATCGAGTCAATTCCAACTCATAGTGACCCCTATAGGATTTCCATGGCTATGAATTTTTATGAAGCAGACTTCTTCATCTTTCTTCCATGGAGTGGCTGGTAGATTCGAAACACTGAATTTTTGGTTAGTAGCTACTTAACAACTACACCACCAAAACTCCTTTTTCATATACAGAGGACAGAAAAGGTAAACATCATTAAGGCAGGAACCAGATTGATGCTTTTGAAAAAGAGTAAGAAAACCAGAGAGTGAACCATGCAACAGTGATGTGAGAGAAGTTCAGACACTATATTAGGAACCAGATGAGATAGAGTCTTGTAGGCCATGAGGTTTTTAATAGTTGTGGTAAGAAGATACTGGAAGATTTTGAGTAAGGGTATACTAACCTTATTTATGTTTTTACAAAGATTATTCTGGCTACAAGTGAGGAATAGACTAAAGGGGAGTGGGGTAG